TACACATATGCAAACATGCGTCAGGTTGCGCATACGTGTGAAAGCGACAATTGCGTCCATTACGCCGCACATGTTACATATCGACGCGAACGTCGCTGTGAGAGCAATCATTCTAGGTCCATTAATCACTGATAACACTAAGCTGGTGAGCGGTAAAAGCTTTTAAAGCATCGCCTATGGACAATTGTGGGTTTGGTAGTTTTTTGCGATTTTGCGGGTGCGCACAATTTTAAAGCTTGACATGTTTGGTGTCTATTTACCCGACGTGAATCCGCATCATCAACTGCTAGGTTTTATCCTGTAGATCGGGTAATCTTTGAGAATCTAGTGAGACAGAGATGCAGTCTCAAGGTCCCCAAGCAGCAGAGCAATGTCACATCCCCCCTCCCCCCCCCGGTGTCAGTTATTGTAGTTGTAGTACACAGTTCTGCAGCAGTGTGGTTCTAGCACAGTGATATCTTCCAGAATCATCTGCATTCACACTGTTTAGTTTTAAATAAACTTTTCCTTTACTGGTATCTCTAGTTATGGTAATTCGTCCCTTCAATGACTGAGCATAATATAAATCTCCATTATAGATGATGCGACCCATCCACTCCAGGCCCTTTCCTGGGAACTGTCGTGCCCATTCCACACTGTAAAGCTTGCTGCTGTCAGTGAGAGAGGCTCCTGTTACTGTACATGTTACATCCAGAGCCTGCGCTGGCTTCACAATGCTGGGACCAGACTCTACTAGTGACACCTGGGAGTTCACATCTGTAAAGAGCCAGAAGAAAATCACATACTAATATAATACAAATCAATAGCACATTTATAAATGATATAAAATAGACTTACAATGTGCTGAGAAGACCACATAGAGTATACTGAGGAGACTCTTCATACTGAAATATGGCAAAATCGCTCAACTCAGTCAGTGGACAACTTTGTCTTCCCAAGCTGGGAATCTTCGTTATTTCTGTTGGCTGTATGATTGTCATTTGCATATTCTACTTAGATTTACATATCAAAGTCCTTATCTCGCATCATCCCTCACATCAGCATTTCTGTAACTATACAACCTCCTCCTCCTATTTTTACGAATCAACTTTATGATTTGAGCCCATTTCACAATTTACTCTTTATCTAGAGCAGAATGTATTTTTTATTCAAATACATATTCCACAATGTTTTCAAAGACACATAAGGCTTTTGCTAACTTTAATGTAAGCTACAAATCTTATATTTTTAGGGTATTACCTAGACAAAAAAAACACATATAAACACTGTAATTTCATCTTCATACTAATATGGCCTTTTACTTTCTTGCCCAAGTACCAAGTGTACAGGGAGAATGGAAATGGCTCTAGCTTTAGTTTCTGCATATTTTATAACTCATTAACCACTTGCTGTCCGGAGCAATTTCTTACTATTTTCACATGATGAAATCTGAATTTGTGGCTAGTAAAAAGCTTCAGACCCCCAAACAATTATACATTTTCTGAAAGCAGAGGTCCTGTAGAATAAAAAAAATGCTAGTTGCAATTTTTTTATGTCGCACAGTATTTGCGCAAATGTTTTTCAAACCAGTATTTTTAGGAAAGAATAAAGTAAAATGAAACTTAGTGCAGAGAAACAGAATATAATACCCAATTTTTTTGGAAAGTATAAAAGATGGGGTCACGTCAGGTAAATAAATACCAAACATGTCAAGCCTTAAAATTGCATTCACCCGTGAAGAAGCAAAAAACTTCAATACCCAAAATTTCCAATAGGGGACCATTAAAAAGCTTTTACCGCTCATCAGTTTAGCGCTAACAGTGATTAATGGCTCTAGAATTATTGCTCTCACTCTGATGTTCACGGCGATATGTGACCTGTGTAACGCAATTTTCGTTTTTGCACATAGGTGCACTAGCGCGTTTCCGTATGTATGTGTGTGCATGTGGGGGACGGGGACTTTAAACATAATTTTTTGCATTTTTTATATGTTACATAATTGTTTTTTCAAGCACTTTTTTTTTTACACTAACTTTATTGCTATCACACAGGGGGCTAACAAGCCCCCTATATGATAGCAGATAGGGTGTGACAGGTCCGCGTTATGGAGACATCTGGGGTCACCTAGGGACCCCAAAGAAGCTGAGGAAGCAGAGATCTGCTTCCCCAACTTCTTCCCCGGGCTCTAAGAGCCAATTGGTGGTCCACACGTCACGCAAGCTCTTGGAGCAGGCCATTGGGAATAGTGGGCCAAGCCAGGCCGGGCCAACAGGGCTGGTGCAAGGATTTTTGCCTACACAGGTGAAGGTACATTTTTCCACCCCTCCCCACGATACCCTTAGGTGGCTGCCTATGCAGCCTTATGCTTTTGCTGGCCCTGGTGCTATGACATCAAGAGCCAGTATAAAGGGTTGAAGACCAGATAACGACATCATAGGGCACACATGCAAAACACACATTTCAATGCTAGTCAATGGGGACTGTTCCCACCTTAGCGTTGCATTGTGCATACAAAAACACCTGTCACGCAAAGAGATGCAGGAGCTATTTTTAGGCGAATGTCCCGCGGTTTTGGTCCCAATAGATATCTCTGTGCAAAATGCAAAAATGCGCAAAACGAGCAGAAAAAAAGTTGCATGAACCTGAAAACGCCTAGGTGTGAACCTGGCCTGAAGTTTTGCAGGGCAAATGATCACAGAACAGGGCAGTTTATAGGGTTTTATGGCAGAACATGACATCCTAGGACAGTATGAAGGCTTACAAGGCAGATTTTAACAGCACAGCATAACATATAAAACCAACATGTAAATTTATAAAGTGTGCCAGTGTGAAGTGTTGCAGTGCATGTCACAAAAACCACTAGGGATGCACCGATACCGATACTAGTATTGGTATCGGTGCCGATACCAAGTATTTGGGTGAGTACTCATACTCGCCCAAATGCTCCGATACCTAGCACGAGTACTTCCTATATCAGGAAGCCGGGCAGCGCATCATTACACGCTGCCCGGTTTCCTGATTGGCCAGGAAACGGCTCCATGCTCTCTCGTCACTGTGTTGCAATATATCTTGGTGGACTTTTTCAGACACACATAGATTTGCAAGAGAGACGGAGGTTTTGTTTGTTTGTTCATAGAAATTTTGGCTCATACAATGGAAGGTGCCAACTAAACATACTGAACTGGTTTTACACAATGGTGTAGCTTGTCCTGTATTGATTCGTATCACAATGGGATGGTGATCGTAAACAGTCACGTCTAGCCTGGTCAAGACTCAAATCAAATCTTGACTACTGATGGCAATTTATGGTACAACGCTGCCACCTAGAGGTGGGAAAGTGAAATGTATTGCATTTTCCTAAAGGTGAAAGGGGCGTCGCTTCCAAAGTTTGAGGCCAGTTTTCTCTCAATAAAAAGCCAGTAGCTGAAAGAGAGCACGGCACTTCACCAGCTCAGCACTTCACCAGACCAGGTCTTCACAGGAGGGGGACAGTACGAGGGCGCTTCACAAGACGAGAGGAGTTGCTTCTAGACCAGGACATACAAAGGATACTGCAACGAGAAGCCATTCTTCCTAGGCCAAGTCCTGCTCATCACGGAATTT